TTTTTTTTTTTTTGTTTGCTCAACAATATTTTATAAAGCAAGACATAAAATTAAAAAAAAGGCGTAAGTTGTTTCAATTTTTTTTTGTCTGCTTATAGTATATTTGTGGATAAACAATTTAAAAGTATATTCTTTGTTGCATGAACACTATCAGCTAAAAAATGGAGGAATTATCCAAAGTCATAGCTGAATTGTTTTAAAGCCCAACAGTTGAGTCAAGCTGAATTATTCAAATCCCAGCAGTTGAGTCTGCAACAACAAAGTGAACAGGTTGCCTTATTAAGAGAACAACAATTAGCACAGCAGAATTATCAAGAAAGGCAAGAGGAGTTGAGTCAGCAACGTCAAAGGGAACAGGAAGAAATGTATGTCAAGGTTTTGGAAATTCAAAAGTTAACATTGGAGAAATTAAACAACAATCAGGCAAATGAAAGTAACTCTTCATATTCTAATAACATCATATTTAATTCATTGGAAACTTTCAACTATGTGCCAGACGAAGGAAAAACGTTTGAAGCGTACTTTAAACGATATGAAGATATTTTCCACACAGACTGTGAAAACTGGTCGAATTCAAGAAAAGTCAGTCTATTACTAAGAAAGCTAGGTACAGCAGAACATAGCAAATTTGTAGATTTTATTCTACCGAGAAGAACAAATGAATTGGAATTCTCGGAAACAGTGAAATTGCTAAAGGAGTTGTTTGGAGCAAATATGTCGCTTTGGCATAAGCGATGGTTATGCATGAATGTCGCGAAATCCGACGATCAGGATTACTTAACTTATGCATCTATAGTGAATAGACATTGTGACAATTTCAGATTGGCAGAGATTACGGTTGAAGAATTCAAGTGTTTAATTTTTTTGCTCAAGGTCTGGTATCCAGTAAAAGTGCGAAATAAGGCGTAGAGTTTTGTCTAACCTCGAATCTGAACAAAACCTTACCCCTGCAAAAGTTAGCAGAGGAGTGTCAGCGGGCCGTAAGTTTAAAGAAAGTCTCAAAAATTGAAGAAGCTGGTATTGCTTATATTAAAAAAAGTGAAGAAACAGTCAAATTACCCATCAGAAAAAAATTGGATTAAAAATTAAAGGCGTATTTTAAAAATAGAAAAAAAAATTAAATGAAAAGAATGAGGAAAAAAAAAAAATGGTTCCGCCATTTAATTGTAGACGGTGCAACGAAAAGACATTGGGAGGTAAATTGCCCATATAGAAATAAAAAATGTTTCGTGTGCCACAAGAATGGTCACAAAGGGTCGTGTTGTAAAACGAAAAAAGTCAATAGCCGAATTAGTCAAACAAATTCAAATATCAAATCAGATAGAGATTTGAGGAAATATGTGACGACTGAAATATTTAAAAAAAGAATATCAAATTTCAACTCGATTCGGGTCCAGATTTAACAATGAACTATAAAACATGGAAAATTTTAAAAAGGCCTACAATAATGAAGTCAATGAAACGCGCTTTCGAACAGTGACTGGAAAGGAAATTAAATTGCAGAAGGCGAGGTTGTACTTCCCATGAAATTGAACGGGATAGTTAAAAAATAAGTTTTCATTCTGAAAAATGGAGAAAACTTGATGGGTACAGATTTTATTGAAACATTCGAATTGTGGGATAAACCGTTAAACTCTTTCTGCAGAAAAGTAGAAAATAATACGCAAACAAGACAGGACATTAATGAGGAATTAAAAAAAGTTTCCGGAAACTTTCACACCTGGTCTTGGAAGATGTAACAAGTTTGAAGCCAAATTCGAATTAAAGGAAAATACTATGCCAATTTTTAAAAGAAACGTAATGTGCCTTTATGAAGTGTAGAGAAAATTAACGAAGAACTTGATAGGTTGGAAAAAATGGGAATTATTTGAAAGTAGAATCTAATTCATGGGCTGCGCCGATTATGTGCATAAAAAAAGAAATCAAACCAAGTCAGTCTCGTTGATTTTTCGACAGGGTTGAACTCGGTAATTAAGGACTACCATTACCCGTTACCGAGTCCGGAGGAGGATTTTTTAACAAGCTAAATGGTGGAGTTATATTTTCAAAATTGACTTATCAGATGCCTATCTCCAAATTCCCGTCGAAGAGGAATGTTCAAGTTACTAAGGATAAACACGTATAGAGGGTTATTCAAGTACAACAGGCTTCCTTTTGGTATTAAAGTGGCACCTGCCATTTTCAACAAGCTATGGACGTCATGCTGAATGATTTAGACTTTTGCGTGCGCTTACTTTAGACGACATCATAGTAAGGAGCTTAATCGATTCTGGCGAACATCGAGAGCATCTCAATCAAGTATTTAAAAAAATTCAGGACTTTGGATTTAAAGTCAAAAGAGTCAAAGTGCGAATTTGGTTTGGAGGAAATTAAGTATTTAGGGCACATAATCAACAAAAAAATGGCAGATGTCCAGATCCGGAAAGGTCCATTGCGATTAGAGACATGCCGATGCCCACTAATGTGGCGATGCTACAAAGTTTTCTAGGGCTTGCAAATTATTATCAAGCGTTCATTAAAGGAATGTACAATTTAAGAGCTCCGTTGAATGAACTGCTAAAAAAAGACAAGGCATGGGAATGGACGGTAGAATGTCAGAAAGCCTTTGATGAAATAAAGAAAATGCTTACGTCCGACCTCTTTTAACCCATTACAATCCAAAACTGGATATTGTAGTGGCAAGTGACGCTAGTTCATACGGGATTGGAGCGTGTATTCAACACATAATGCCAGATGGTTCTAGAAAACCAATTACACAACCGAGAACTTTGCTCCCAGGAGAAAGAAGTTACTCTCAGATAGAAAAAGAGGCACTGAGTATCATTTTTGCCATACAAAAATTTTCACAGGTACATCCACGGCAGACATTTTATCCTTGAAACGGATCATAAACCACTGATCACCATTTTTGGTTCAAAGAAAGGGTTACCCGTTTATACAGCAAATCGTCTGTTAAGATGGGGAACCATTCTTCTCAATTATGATTTTCACATAAAGCACCTATCATCCAAAAAGATAATTCATGCGGATAGTCTATCAAGACTAGTACCGAGGCAAGAAGAAAGATTCAAGAATCAATTATTGCAAATATCAGAGCAGATTATGAGGTGAAAAGCATGGTAAACAACATTGTAAGAGAGCTACGGTTACACTAAATGAAATTAAAAAAAGAAGCTGAAAGCGATGATTTCATTTAGAAATTAAAAGCAAAATGGTAGCGAATGACCAAAAAGTGCAGGAGATTTATTCAATAGGTGACGGAGTTTTATTATATGGTGAGAGTAGTAATACCAAAAAAGTTGCAGAAAAGAATACTTCGGGACTTTCATATGGGTCACCCGGTATTAATAGAACAAAAAGCTTAATGCGAAGCTTTTGTGTATTGGAAAGGAATGGATGTGGATATCGAAAACATGGTTCATCGATGTAAGGGGTGTGCGTTAGCAGCTAAGGCACCACCTATAGTATACAAACCATGGCCCAAGACGGATCATCCGTGGACAAGATTACACATTGATTTCGCTGGTCCAGTAGAAGATTTTTACTACTTAATAGTGGTAGATAGTTTTACAAAATGGCGGAAGTACTACGCTGTAAAAAGCCTACGTCCAATACCACAACAACTTTTTTTGCATGAACTATTTGCACGGTTCGGTGTGCCAGAGTGTATTGTGAGTGACAATGGTACACAATTCACTTCTGAAGAATTTAAGGAATTTTGTGAGTTATATCAAATTAACCACATAACGACGCCTCCGTATCATCCGAGGTCTAATGGACTCGCAGAAAGATTTGTCGATACTTTAAAGCGTGCTCTGAAGAAAGCCTCAGGAGTTCCAACGGAAAAGGCGCTTCAGCAATTCTTACAAGTATACAGAATCACGCCAAACCAGAGAACACACTCAAACATGGCACCAGCTGAACTAATGTTCGCTAGGAAAGTTAAGTCAGTGTTTGACAAGCTTTTGCCAGGAAAAATACAGAAAAAAAAATACCATGTATACAGCGAGAAAAAGATACACTCCCGGAGAGAAGGTGTTTTTCAAGTGCTATAAAAACAACGTTGAGTTCTGGGAACGAGGCATAGTGGACAAGAGAATCGGTGACCTGATTTACATAATTAAAGGGCGAAGAATACTTATAAAAGGCACCAAAACCAACTTAAAAAAGATTACGGTATAGAGCAAGAAGAGTGTATACCGGATGAGGACGAAGATCCCATTGATATAATGTATATGTTTCAGGTAGAACCTCCACAGAATACACCTGAACCAAGAAGATCCGGTAGGAAACGGAAGTTACGGACCCATTGAACGTGAATCCAAAGCGGAAAAAATATTAAAATTAGGCAAATGGATCTACAAAGAAATAGCCATAATCATCAACCCATATAGGAAGCCAATTTGAAATCCAAAAGGATTCCAAGGCTTGGGAGGAGGGTGTTGTGTATGATACACCTAATTTACATAAGTGGAGTACCGACCATATAAATATGGGTTGGTACGGAAGACGACGGAAGATTAAGAGATCGAATCCAGAGACTCTGCCCGACTGCGACTTAGTCAACCCATTCTGCAGGAACAGTCTTCCCAAGAATATACCAAAACTACCTGTAAATATTGTGTACCTTTTTTCATTGTTTCAATACATTTTGTTACGTACATTTTGTGTTGTATTATTATTATTCCATGCTTATTCAAGCTTCAACAATACTTTAGGGAATAATACAAGTATGTCTCCCTAAGCTAAAAGTTAAATTGTAAGAATCCTATCTAGAAAGATTATCTCAAAAAAAAAAAAAAAAAAAAAAATTGTTTGCCAAAAAAAAAAAAACACAAAAAACACACTCGGTCAATTCTTGCCAATGGTCAAGCACTAAGGCCAGTGTCATTGCCAAACAGGAGTTATTTTATGTATTGTTGTTAATATCACCATGACTGATATTGGTGATGTTAATGTTGCATTTTCACTTATTCTCTGGACTTTTTTTTTTTTCCTAGGATTTCTGGATTGGGATGAGTACCTTCGTATGTATCTCCTTGCTCGTGGTTATCATAAAGATAAAGTTGAGAAATATCTGAAAGGCATGAATGCAAAAATTGATTCCAGTAAATCGGAAATTAAATTTTCTACAGATGATGAGAAATTTTTCCACGATGGAGGTAAGTGACTAAGATATTGTATTTTTCACTTTAAGAAAAAAAAAAAAAATCTCCTGTAGACCAACTGGGGAATTACTTTTTTTCTTTTTTTTCATATTTACTAATGTTAATTTTTCTGATAGCATTTATAAAAATGATACGTTATCTGATTTAGCATATTTGATAGATATTAAAAATGATTCTTGAATGTTACAAGACTTATGAATATTACACTTGTACTAAAACTAGATTGGTGAGTAACTTATTTAAGGTCATTTTACACAGCACATCTTCACTACACAATCTTCTCTGTACTGAGTGAGTTAAACTCCTTGCATTAGTGAATCGATTTAAGACAAGGCAAAAACTATATTCCCAAAAACTGCCCGTTATTGATGTTTACTAAGCTTCTGTTGGTAGAAAAGAAAATTCAAGGTAAAGGATTTCATACAGCATTGTTGATATAGAACACAATAATGTACAAGGCAGTTTTTGTTTTTTGCTGTGGTGGGGAAGTATTTATTTGTTTTATATTTTGTGATTCAAAATTAAATTAAAGATTAGTAATGATAATTAAAGATTAGTAATGATAATTAAAGATTAGTAATGATAATTAAAGATTAGTAATGATAATTAAAGATTAGTAATGATAATTAAAGATAATTAGATTAATGATAATTAAAAGATTAGTAATGATAATTAAAGATTAGTAATGATAATTAAAGATTAGTAATGATAATTAAAGATTAGTAATGATAATTAAAGATTAGTAATGATAATTAAAGATTAGTAATGATAATTAAAGATTAGTAATGATAATTAAAGATTAGTAATGATAATAAATCTGGCATTTCTACAGAAATATATCTCTGCAAGAAATAATCTTTTTGATATTACCATTAATTAAGCACACCTGATCACACATTTTATATAAATTAATTGTACATTAATTGCTCTTTGCAAACCAAGAACAATATATTTATACCACATGAAGTATATTCTTGATTACCTTACAAAATTTCAAATAATTTAAAGTTAAAATAAAAGTTAAAGCATATTTATCACCATTTTTCTCTTTATTATTATTGATGGACTCTCCCATCGAGTTTGATGTATGAGGTCCTGACAACCACAAACTAATTATCTGCATGCCTATGACTGGCATAACTTTTGAGACCCGCTTAAGAATTGCACAAAAGACCACAAACAGTACAGGAGAATGTATTGTATCCAAGTGCAGTAGGAACACTGTTAGATGTTATATTTTGCTTTCTTGTTTCATGTAGTCGACTGATGGTTACTTCTCAGTGCAGCTATATCAATGTTGTACTTCTTTAGCTCCAAAGCGACCAGAGCTGTTTTTCTTTCTGGTGCTGAGTTGTTGTCCTGGAGAGTTTGTACATTCCAAGTGCCAAGATGAAGTTGTTTCGTAGAGTTTTTTTGCAGTAGCCAGATATGTGTGGAACTAATTAGATGTAGTTGTCAGAAAACCAACACATTGATTTGTTTCAAGTGGTGAAGGCTTTTGTCGGACCATCCACACTTTTTGGATCCAAACGACAGCCCTCATGCATTATTATTGTGGTGTTTAACCTCTCCAGATCACAATCAATACCAGCCAGTACACACTTCTCAGCAGACACACGCAATATAATATAATGCAATAATTATTATTATTATTATATAATTAATATTATTATATAATTATTATCTCTTACCTTTTTTTTTTTTTTTTTAACAATGAATTTATATAGCAAACTGAGCCACCTCTAAAAATTTACAAAATAATTTTTTACTTTAGTATTTGTGATCTGGAGAGATTTAATTATTTCACCCCAAACAAGGCAATAAACCAACTAAGATGCAAGGGGTTACTGAGTGTTAGAGAGTACAAGGAAAAAAAAAATCACTATTAACGAGAGAACAATAAAAGAACAGGAATTAAGAAAACTGAAGATAACGATTAACATTGCATTCATATTTTTGAACATCAAAATGAACTGAGAAGTAAGCCAGAAAAGAGTTCCACAAGCAAGAAGCATGAGAAAAGAAACTTAGCATAGAACTTACAGTTACACCCCAGCCTTTTCGACTTTAAAATGATGAGACCTTGCTGCCAATCTAGTACTGTACTTAAATTCATAAACTCTAGGTACCATAGAAGAAAGCACATCAGAACAATTACCATGAAAGTATTTATAGAAAAGGCACAAGGAAGCCAAGATGCCAAAACAATTAACATTGCAGATTCTTCTTTGTATTTTATCAAGAATCTTTAAATACACAGCAGAAGCACCAGACCAGATGTGACAGCAATATTCAAAGACAAATGATAGAATTATGAATATGTCAGATTCTGGCAAGAAAAATTGTCTAGCAGGACAGTGAACCAACTTTCCTAGCTGCAGACCTAGCAATCAATTTAAAATAAACTTTTATGTCCACATAAAACGTTACTTCGAGAAAGCATACTTAGTTACTCTTTTGGAGGTTAGCATCAGCCATGATGATGGAAGGTAAAGAGTTCTCTCAAATGATTAAAAGAGAGCGATTTTATTTTGGAGGTGCTAAAATTAACAAGCCATTCTTTACTCCAGTTAACAGATTGTAGGTTATTTAGATCAGCTACCAATTTGACCTTACCAGACTTACTATTAAGACAGGAGTAAATAGTAGTTGTGTGATCAGCATAGATACCAAGTTGAGAACCTATGGCATCTGGAATCAATAGTAATATGAAAAAAGTTATTTCTTGAAAAGAAAAGCCAAAAATCTTGTAAATATTTAACATAACAGTAATATTTGGCAATATTTATAGTATCTCTATAATACGCCCTGCTTCTTGTATATTTTTTGGTCTGTAACTTTTTGCTATAGTGAAGCAGATAGATAAAATAACAAATACTGCTTTGATTCTAACGTCCAACTTGAAGGTAAATTGATAAGTGGCATATCAGTTACACCAGCATTATTCTGCTTGATTTGCATGGTAACTTGTAAATACTAGTTGAGGTAGTGCACAGATACTACACTGATCTTAGGCAGAAGTCAGTTATTGACACTGAACCTATACAGAACACACAGATACTACATTGACTTTAAGTCCAGTCCTAGGTGCCCATTTCTTCAGGCAATACCCCCTCCCCTCTAAGGGGAAGGGCTAAGGTTAATTTCTGGTCCATGGGGGAAATACCAAAAGAACTGGAATATTTTTAACCTCTTGCCCCATGTATGTGTGGGTGTCCCACTTAAAACTATCTTGTGGTGTCATATTCCATCTGAGTGGGTGTACAGATAAATCTCAGATATTACACTGTCCCTTGTTAGAAATGTGTGAATAAGTGTTTGTGATTTGGGTGTGATAGGGCTTTTAATGGGTACTATGTATATTTATATATTTAAAATCTCACCTTTTACTAATAGTAAGAACTTAACAAAATATGCTGTCATTGTTTCCATAATATCAGTAAAGGAGTATTTTATTACTACTACTACTACTTGTATTTTGTTTCCCATACCACTTTTCAAATACTAGAGACGAATAAAAAAAAAAAAAAAAAAATTCTCATACTTATTTGTCAAGTAGAATAGATTCCTGTTCAAAAAGTTGTACCACCCACACGTTTGTTTACGTTGTTCTCGAGTCTCTCCCAAAATCATAAAGAGGATCCAACTGAAGACAAAAATGGTGTTGATTAGTAAATCCATATTTGTCATATTGTTACGCATATATTCATCTGCTGCATTTCCTGCCTTCCAAGACACTCCTAATTTGGCTGGTTGAAGTTTTATAAAACCATTTCATGTAGGAGTGAAGCAAGTCTGGCTCTTTCGAACAGATATGTTTGTTTTAAAAGAAAAAAAAAATGTTTTATTGATTCTAATAAAACAAATTCCAATATTAATTTTGAAAATATTTTTAATCTCTTACTTGGCATTTTTTTCTCCTTCATCTGGTATGAATGGCAGCCTCACTTTGACTTAGTAGGACAGGTGTGGGTGGATAATGGCTGGAGGAATACAAGCATCCTTATCTATAATTTCAGCACCACTGACAAATTATTTGTAGTAAATTGACTTACCATGCCCTACAGTACTACTAAAACACTGATGCGTTTATCTGATTTAGTTTTGCTTCCTTTAGGAGATTTCATTGTTTATTCTGGGGTCATATAAAAGAACAGAACTTGTCTAATTAGGGGTCTGCCTATAAGCAATGTAATACTCCACTTGGATTTTACAAAATAATTCTTTTTATCATGTGTGTGTGTGTGTGTGTGTGTGTGTGTGTGAGAGAGAGAGAGAGAGATAGGGTAAACATGATTACTGTCAGTTTAATGTTTCAATGTGGATCTTCAAACCAAATGCTGCTACTTTTTTTTAGCAGACATATATATATATATATATATATATATATATATATGCTAGTTATGTATGTTATTTTTAGCAGACACACACACACACACACATATATATATATATATATATATATATATATATATATATATATATATATATATATATATATATATAACACTTTTACAAGACAACAGCTTTCATCACACTCCAACTTATTCAGTTCTAGAGTAACAAAACCAGCAGGATTGAAATAAAATCATTTCTAAATGAATCTGGTTACAAGAAAATATTTTAGCTATATTAATAGTGAAATAACAATGGTACTTTTTTTTCATTATTACAATCTGGTTTGTTTATGTAGGTCACTAGGGGATTAAAAGGAGTGAGGGAAGGAGGAAACCAGCCCTTCCCAATTTCTTGGGGCTAATGTTAAGGATTATTTATGTGCATGACCTCCAAATTGCTTATAGATATTATATTTAGTCATACTAATATTTATTCTGAATGAAAGAAACTGGGAAGGTCTTATTTTCTCTGCTCATCATCTTCTATGACCCTACATACATAACTAGCATATATATATATATATATAAGTTATTATATATATATATATATATATATATATATATATATATATATATAGTTATACTATATATATATAT